CAGTGATGGCGAACCTTTTGAGCTCGGCGTGTCAGCATTTTGAAAAACCCTAACTTAACTCTGGTGCTGTGTCACATATAGAAATTTTTTGATATTTGCAACCATAGTAAAACAAAGATTTATATTTTTTACATTTATTTTATATATTTAAATGCCATTTAACAAAGAAAAATCAACCAAAAAAAATGAGTGTCATAGGTTCGCCATCACTAACCTAGGAGCATCCCTCTCTCACTGCTATGATTACAGAACAGTGACTAGTACACATCTTACCAGACAAAAAGGAGTTCAGTGCTCACTGTCACCTGTAACGAGCGCCCACCGTGGTGGAGAGTGTCTGAGAGGCAGGACCTGCCATCGACTTTGAGCAACTGCAGCTGGAGCCGTAGTTAGGACTGATGCCTACTGACTGACACGGGCTTATGTTGTCTTTAGATAAAGTGATAATGAACCAACTGAGTGCACACCTCCTTTAACCATTCGCTAAGAACACGTTTGGTGGTCTCTACCCAACATTTAAATACACACACCCCACCACCAGAAGACACAACAGAAAACAGACGAGAACTGGAATTTTAAACAAACCCCACATGAAAGGAGAGAGGAACTGGCAGACGGACAAGACAAGTGTATGCACCCCTGTGGGGAGGCTGGTCCAAATGCCTGCTCCTCATCCCCCCTGGGAGGCCACAACCAGACACACACGCGGGAAGAAGCGCTGGAGTTTAGGGAAACTGAGAGGCCAGAGGACATTCTGGAAAGAAAGGTCAGGCCCCTGCTGGATGTCTCCAGGGCCCGGCAGCTGCTGGCCCCACACAATGATTCAATGCATCTGATGCCAATTAGCATTTGGACTCCAATCAGCGGAAGTAAAGCTCCTAGAAAAGGTCTTTGTCCCAGGCTGGGCAGGAGTTCTCTGTTGCCTCCCTTGGCTGTCAGAAATGGGGGAGGGGAGACCAGAGAACAGTGGTAATTTTCAAAAGCAACTATGGGTTTGTGTATGAGTCACGTGACAAGGCCGCCCACCCCGCCATCTGAGCACACGGGGGTGCATATTAGTAATTTTTTTTCAAATGACTCCTTAAAATGTTGTTTTAAACTGCTGTCACCTACATTCTCTCTCCTTCCACTGATGGCAGTAACTACATGAAGAGAGACAGGCGGACTTGTGATGAGCTAAGGAGGGGAATCCGGAGGACCCGCAATGTTCTGGGCTGGCTGTCTTCCCCGCAGGCCTCTCCAGAACTCACTCCTCGTCAGCAGGTGAACAAAAGAGGAGGCCTCACTGCACCCCAGCCAGCTGGGTGATGAACGAGATGTGCAAATATCTCTGCAGATTCCACCACCAAATGTGTAAGTGCATACACATTTAGAATGAAAATATCAGTTTTTAAAAACCAGTTTATAAGTTTGTTTGTGTGACTGTGAACAGGGAGACAAATGAGACCACCTCTTACTTGGCAATCGAGCTACAGCTGAGGTTATTATCATTACACCACACTGAATTCACCAAGATGAAATTTTTGACCCAGACACATGTTATAGCACTTAAATTCCCTGACAATTCAACCAAAGGTGAACAGAACTATGCAGAAAAGATTTTAGAACAAAGATCAGGTTACCTGGTCAGAGGAGGGGATGGCATGATCTTTAAAATTAATCAGCCCAGTCTCCTAAGATCATCAGTCTCAGAATAAAAACCAAAGAGAAAAATTACAAAATCAACATAACTGAAGTGAAAATCAGTATGACATCTTACTCAAGAAAAAACACTTGTGAGAGGAGGGCGGGCACTAGTGAGAGGGGGGCGGGTACTAGTGAGAGGAGGGCGGGTACTTAGTGAGAGGAGGGGCGGGTACTAGTGAGAGGAGGGAGGGGCACTTGTGAGAGGAGGGGGCAGTCCTGCGGGAAGCTCACTGCTGCCCTCTTGTCTGGCATTACCGCAGCCGCTCTGCCTCCAGCAGCCCCGCCCGCCAGCCACAGCCTCAGTGTCGGGCGACCCCTCCACCAGCTAAAAGATGGCCATGTGCTAACTTGCAGGGGTGGGGAACCTCCCGTCTGCCCAGGGCCATGTGGATATTGACACCATCAATCGTGGCCACACAAAGTTACCGACTGACACCTTAGCCGCTGGAACTGGTCGAGGAGGGAGGGGCACTTGTGAGAGGAGGGGGCAGTCCTGCGGGAAGCTCACTGCTGCCCTCTTGTCTGGCATTACCGCAGCCGCTCTGCCTCCAGCAGCCCCGCCCGCCAGCCACAGCCTCAGTGTCGGGCGACCCCTCCACCAGCTAAAAGATGGCCATGTGCTAACTTGCAGGGGTGGGGAACCTCCCTTCTGCCCAGGGCCATGTGGATATTGACACCATCAATCGTGGCCACACAAAGTTACCGACTGACACCTTAGCCGCTGGAACTGGTCAGACATTTAACGCACCCCAATGCCGTGCAGGGCCAGACCACATGACTCGGCAGGCCTATAGGGCCCGAGGGGCGGACGGTCCCTACCCCTGTGCTCACGGCTCAGATGGTGGTTAGCATTTTTAACAATAAAGTGTTTATGTATTTACATTTTTAAAATTATATTTCCTGGGTGACACTGGTTCATAAGGTCACATAGGTGCGCATTTCTATGCACCATGATCTGTATACTGCACCGTGTGCTTACCACCCAATGTAGCAATAAAGTATCTTTAAATTAAGGTATATACTTTGGTTTTTAACTTTTTTAAATATGTTTTATTGATTTTTTTAGAGAGAGAGGAAGGGAGAGGGAGAGAGAAAAAAAATCGATCACCTGCCTCCTGCACACCCCCTCCTAGGGATCAAGCCC